GACTTCTATAAATAAAAGAACTACAGTACAGAAGACTTCTATAAATAAAAGAACTACAGTACAGAAGACTTCTATGAATAAAAGAACTACAGTACAGAAAACCTCTATAAATAAAAGAACTACAGTACAGAAGACTTCTATAAACAAAAGAACTACAGTACAGAAGACTTCTATAAATAAAAGAACTACAGTACAGAAGACTTCTATAAATAAAAGAACTATAGTACAGAAGACTTCTATAAATAAAAGAACTACAGTACAGAAGACTTCTATAAATAAAAGAACTATAGTACAGAAGACTTCTATAAATAAAAGAACTACAGTACAGAAGACTTCTATAAATAAAAGAACTATAGTACAGAAGACTTCTATAAATAAAAGAACTACAGTACAGAAGACTTCTATAAATAAAAGAACTACAGTACAGAAGACTCGTAATCTGAGGGTCGCGGGTTCGAATCCCCGTCACACCAAACATGCCAGCCTCCGCCTTTGCCTCTTCCCAAGTCCAGGATGAGAGAGAGAGTGAGGGTTGGGCGCCGGGCTAGCAACTCCACCCCGTAAAAACCAACCTGCTACAAGTAACTGCAACAACACCTTCCGTTGGCGAGGTGTTGTTGCGGCCCTATGCTCCATTGGGAGTTTACAGGAATAAAAAAACAAAAAAACATGGCTTCCCATTAAATCTTCATCGAAATAACTTTTAATTGAAATAGGAATTTCTTCATATTAACCACTGTTGTATGTGGTCTATCATATTAGCGTTTTTCATATAAATATTACAAATTTGATAAATTTTATATATATATGTTTATACCTGTGTGTGTGTGTTTAAGGAATGCTAAAAACAAAAAAATGCGACAGCGCCATGAATTGCAATTTAATTTCAATGAAAAGGTTATTCAATGTTGTGCTCGAGAAAATATTTGTCTCCCAGTGGGTCAGCGGTAAGTTCACGGACATAAAATGTGAAGATTCGAGGTTTGATTCCCCGCGGTAGACAGGGCGCAGATAATGTATTGTGTAGCTTTGCGCTAAAATATACAGACAATATCTATTAATAAAGTCAATTAGTAGTTACTAAAAACTTCGGATCAGAGAAAGCTGTAAACACAAATCAGAATTAAAAATTAACTTAGTAAAAAATGCAGACAGTTTAACAAACCAGCCTAACTAAACTAAGTTATGTCACAAGAAAATTTAGAATGATTAGGAAATTCTATTTTAAAAAGAACAGAATTAATAAACGTCTATTATATCTTTAATCATACAACACAAATTTAGATTAATATGACTCCCAATATCTCAGTGAGAAGTTTGCAGACTTACGACGCAAAACATATGGTTTCGATACCTGTGGCTGGCAGACCATAGATAGTCCATTACGTAGCTTTGAGCTTATCAACAAACAAACTTTATATCCAATGACTAACTTCAAAGAACTAAATTATCTTAACCACACCATACCTGCTATTTGCAGTGCCTACGACGCTTTTCGTCTAATACCAGGGCTCATCAGGCCGGGTTGGATACGAAAGACACAGTAACGGTTGAGAAGCTATTTATATCATCACATTGCGTGTTCAACAATTGTTATGGTGTGAACTACATTATGCTGGTGAAGAAACTACTAATAAATTTTATGCTCTGGGCACACAAAGACTATTTGGTCGTAATGGACGTGGCATAATGATTAGTGTGTCTGATTGTAGATCCGAAGGTCTACGGTTGCTGAAAATCATGACAGTCAAATCTCATTATTCGATTAGAGTAGTCCCAATAGTAAGAGGTGGGTGCTATTGACCAGCTGCCTTCCCTCTAGTGTATTTAGTTCATTATTAGGGACGGCTGGCATAGGTAGTCATTGTTATGTAGCTTTGAGCGCATACCCTAAACAAATCGAAATCTGTCTGATTAGAAAACTCGTGTTCCAAAAAAACTTTTTAGATATACGGTTGTTTTTTTTTTGTCAGACCAAATATCGTTACGTTAGACAGTCTACTGTTAACACAGTTGTCATGGTTACTTATGGATTCTGGTATTTTGTATTCTTGTTATTAATATTTCTTTGCATGGATAACTTTAATCTTTCAAAGAAATTGTCGTCTTTGCACTTAATCACAATACTCGAACATGTTTTTAACTTCAGTAAAAATAAATATTTTGAAAGTAACTTGAAGACAGAAAATTATTAAAATTTACGACATCAAAACTAAATCTAATTACTATTACAAATGTTTTTTTTATACTTACCATCTTTAGGGTTGGCGATCTTCTAGAGAAAAAATCATTAATACTGTACCGATTGTTTATTTGTTTCTTAGTACAAAGATAAATTAAGACTAATTTGAGATAAATCTGTTTTTAAACTTGATGAAAACTTGGCGCAAACGAAAAACATAGTTTTCAGTCCATACTGGGGCTACCGACAACAAATACCCACCAACACCAGTTCTAGAAAGGATTCGTACTGATTCTATCGTCTGCTGCAAGCGTTATTTGTAACAAGCACAGTTTAACAGCGGCCTCTAGTGAAAAGTTCTTACAAAGGAGAGCATAATATATGAAAAAGAAATTCATTCAAAGACATCACACATCAGTATTTTTGTACGAAACAAAAACACATTATTAATCTTAAATTTAACGAATATCGTCTGCTGGTGATAAATAAAGGTAAATATTAAAATTTAAGTGAATGTTATCTGTACGAAACAAACTCGACAACATAGTCTTGCGTATTTGTTAATGTAATGTCAAAAATGAAATAATCTAATAATATTTGTTTAAAAATAAAAGGATTTTACTAAATGTTCTATGTATACTAACGTTCTAACAATGTGTACCATTACACACTCGTACCACGTCAAAGAAACAACAGTAGTACTATTTAAACAATGTATTTTATAACACACAGATGTTCAGAAAAAACAACAATCTTTGCTGTATTTAAACAAATCAACAAAGTACTAGTTTTCAGACAAATTCCAGGTGCCGCGAAGCTTCTGTGATTGGCTGGCTGTAAAGTACATGGCGTGTTTTCTTTTTTTTTTCGCGATCTTCCGAAGTTTTATAGTTTATTACTTATTCTCAACTAATCTTATAAGTCATTCTAAGCCCTTATTTTAATTCATATTTATAATAAAAACAACAAAATAAAACGATGGTAAACTGTTATACCCTATTCTTATGTAATCCTGGCGGTAGTTGTATTTTAATTTAACAGATTTAATTCTCCTACACAGTGAAGTTTCAGTAAAACTATAAAGTACACGTGTACACGAGACATGAACATTTTTGGGCTTTGTTCTATATGTTGAAGCTGATTTCATTTGCTTCATTTCTTGCACAAAAGTCAGAGTATGACATTAATACCTTCGCAAATCCCTTACTTAGTAGAATTAAGGTTTCTTGTCTGTGGTACTTCTGTCAGAGACACTACAGCTTTTGTTTCCGATAAATGTACACTTCAAACAAGAGAGTTTGATGTCGTGTCTGAAAGGACAATACAGAAAGCAAAAACATGGAGATTAGTTTATGAACAGATTGCTTCGCTCGTTGCAATAATCCTGCATTCGAATATATAAATTTTATCTTTTGTTCGAGTTAAATCCAGCTTTAAAAATTCCCTAATAAAGATCACATGTTGTCTTTGAAAATTTGTAGTACATACTGGAAAGATTTCCACATTTTGATTATAAAGTTAGAAAAAAAAAACAGTTGTATATACTAACCCTGATGAAAGCGAAACGTTGTTTAAAATCAAAAGTTATTTTATAATTATCTGGAGTATAAAAGTTATTTTCGAACCTGATTATTAAAAAAAGATCAAATACTTAATGACTTGTTTCAAATGTTGAAGAGTTTCTTACGGGCTTCTGTTGCTTTCTTTCTCTTTTCGGAGACGACGTATCGAACTCAAAAACTCAGGAGAGAATCCGAAACGTCTAGTTTTGGTGACGATGTATCGAACTCAGAAAACTCAGCACAAAATCCGAAACGTCTGTTTTTGGTGACGATCTATCGAACTCAAAAACTCAGGAGAGAATCCGAAACGTCTAGTTTTTAACGATGTATCGAACTCAGAAACTCAGCACAAAATCCGAAATGTCTGTTTTTAGTGACGATGTATCGAACTCAGAAAAATTCAGCACAAAGCCAAATGTTTCGGATTCAGAAGAAGAACTCAGCCCAGAACGACGTTTCCAAAACGAGACAGAAGACAGGAACAGTTCAAAAGAAATGATTCAACGTGTGGATTTATTTAAAATGTCTAATAGGAAGAACATTTTCTGTTCATTTAAAAATTTGATAAAAAGAAAGTGGTTAGAAAGCATCACTACAGAAAAAAAAATCCAAAAATATTTAAAATATTTTAAAATTCCACTTTGTAATTTTTTCGTAACAGATAGGTGTGGGGGGGGGGGGTTAGTCAGTCATTGATAGACGGGCGGAAGCAGGGGTCGGTCAATGACTGACATGCGGTAGTAAGGTTCAGTCGATGACTGCTCTTGGATTTTATTAAGAGACCAGTAACAATTACCTAAACTCTGTCTTTGAAAAAAACCTTTATACATAGAGTCAATAGATACGAAAACATCAGAAAAGCCTTTGGGGGTTGGGGGGTTGGGATGTTAAATCGACATTGGAAGAAATGAAGAACGAAATAAAATCGTTTACTGTTCTTCGTTCACTTCAATTACATTGTTCTTTTACTTTCATGTTCCTACGAGTCAGCACTAAATCTGTTTTTGTTTCGTGACCTCCAAGATTATCTTCTGGAAACTTCGAGGGAATAAAACAGAATGAATCATAAAAAAAAAAGTCGCGTTATTTTGCGTTGTTGCTTCAAGAATTCCGCACGAGATGATTAGAGAAACAAGCGTGAAGACACCGCCGCTGCCACAACAAACTTTTTACATTCGTCAACGCCTGTAGCGCGTTTCTGAGAGCGAAATGTTAGTCGAAGAAAAAATGAAGTATAATTTATATGATCACATACTTTAGACTTTATTCAGCATGTGAGAATCTGCTTGTATTAAATCGATTTGAAACTTTCCTTTTCGATCGAAAACTTTTAAAGAATGCACGACAAATTATCAGCAAAGATTTTATTATTTTTTAGCAATTTGTATAACATTTTATCACGTTATTCTAAAATATAAAAAAAAGACTTCCGTCAACCCCCTGTAAAGTCAGGAAGGAATTATTCAGTTTCTTAGGGAAGAAGTGAAGAATTAGTCGGTCATAAGTGTCCCCCCCACCACCACCCGATGGCACAAAGGTAATCCCGTACACATATAATGTAAAAATTCCGAGTTCGATCCCCGCGGCAGACACGCTACATAGATAAACCATTGTGTAGTTTTGCTCTAAACGTTAATACTTCTAAATATCAAACACCGTTGGCCGACATAACTACGGCAGATAAAGATATATTTATTTTTCTCACAGACTCGCTGATATCAAAAACGAGTTAACGAGTTTAGTCTGACAAGTTAACAATAATAGTCTGACAATAAATAGAGTTTAGTCTGACAATAATACAGTGACACTTGAAAAATAATGATTTATATCTTAGTTTCTCTGCTACTCTTCAAAATAGAAATTACCATTATCTTCCATGTAAAGGTGTAGTGGCTTTAATCGCCAACAGGTGTTAATCTCTAGCAAGCGAATTGTGAGGAAAAAAACAATGGCAGTTTGAGAGTTGAATCATGGCGTGACGTCACGGAATACGTATCCAAAACTAGAATATTAAACTGGTGAAAAAATTATCGATTCAGGAATATGACATAGTGGTTACTGTGTTGGTCTGCGTATCGAAAGGTCCAATGTTCGCGCCCAATGCCGCTCAACATTTCCTGCACTTTCGGCCTTGAGTGCGTTGTAAGAGTGACAGTTAATTTCATTATTCGATTTAAAGAACCTTCACTGTGATCAGTGGTTCAAAATTGGGAACATTTATTTGGTTATTAGGATGTCTCTAACCTGATCGATTAGGGTTGTGTGTGCGTTAGGACACCGTTCAGTGTTGAAAATACCGAACACACACACTTTACTTTTAGTTTAATATGAAACGCTAGCTGAAAGTGTTTCTCAATAACTCACCTTGTTAGATAAAAGGATTGTCACGCGCACATAGAAATAAAAACTAACGAGGAAGTAACAGAACGTGCAGAGACACCTGCTGGACGTATTTAGACAACAGAACGTTCGTCACTCATCATATGATTAGATCAGATGGAAGGTGAGCAAATATTATGACGGGACAAAGAGAAGAAAGATAATAACGTCATTTCAGAAACATTCTGTCGGAGGCAAAGTTGTGTCTGCACATAGAATTTTCTGTACTGTAGTTCTTTCATTTATAAAAGTTTTCTGTACTGTAGTTCTTTTATTTATAAAAGTTTAATATGTCGCTATGTTATGTGTCCAACTTAATCATTCCAAGCACTTTATATTAATGCCAGTTCCTACGTACCTCCCTCCCACTTAATTTCGTTCCAAGCAGTTTGTATCGATACCATCCCAGCATGTCCACTTGTCGTTGGAAGTATATATTGTTCTATGGTTTGAATTGAAACAGTTCTTGAGAGGCTTCACTAGCCTTGCTGACATTTCGTATATTCACATATTTATTTTTAAGATGCGGGTGTGAGTTATTGGAAAAGAGTTTGTTTTATTTTAACTTAAAGCTGCATCATGGACTATCTTCGGGGAATTGAGCCCCGAATTTTAGCGTTGTAAGTCCGTAAACTTACCAGTGATACGTGGGAGAACATTGTAATAGAGAAAATAACAAATGAAAAAAAAAAATACACACATCATTTTAACTTTTCTTCGCTCTTAAATAGTTACCCAGGGAAAGTTCATGACATTACAGGAAGTGACGTAATTCTAACAGGAAGAGACGTCAGTGTCATAGAAACATCATCAGACCATATTTATAATCGGGATCCATAACGGTTTGCATAAAACTTTAGTCATTATAGAAAGTATCTCCTTAAGTTCAGCTAATTTCATTGTATAACATGGCTTACTCTTTTATAAAATATATGCCTGGCTCTTGTGTATAACACAACTCAATATATCGTCAATAAACCTACATAAGTTATGGTTTACCTTCCATAAATTGTTTAATAAAGTTAAACTAGCACGTGTTTGTGAAACCAACTGCATTGTTATTCTGTTTTAAAAATTAAGACATTTTCTACGTTTACTAACTGAATACGTAGACGTTTATAAAAATCGCTTTTTGGGACGTGACGGAAAACAAGGAATCAAGCGAGAAAAATGATAATTAATACATTTTTCTGAGTTTATTAATTTAGTACATGGACTTTTATAAAATGTATTTGCTTGGAGATGATGACAAGAAATTAGGGATCAAGCGAGAAAAACAGCATTTCTTGAAACTTCATTTAAAAAAAAACTT